ATGTTCAAAAATCATGTCTTTCTGTTGTTTTCCTTGTGGTTGTGGATGAATTCCCTGGTCAGATTTGAGTAGGGAGTATCTTTATCCTTAACCTTAAGTTTGCCACGTGGCAACATGCCAAGCCAAGAGGGCATCAGCCAGACCAACCAACGAAAGAACACCTTATCCCCATATCTTATCCTACTAACATCAAAGCCACCAATTTCCCTGCACAACCCACTCCCACTTCCTACTTTCTAATAAGAAGAAAGAAAAACACATACTTGGGAAACACTGATCAACCACAAAAAACAATGGCAGCCTCACTACAAGCTGCTGCAACTCTCATGCAACCAGCCAAGGTTGGTGTTCAAGGAAGAAGCACTAACCAGTTGAGGTCTGCTCTGAGTGTCAGCAAAGCCTTCGGCGTCGAACCGGGCACTGCCAGGCTCACTTGCTCCCTGCAGGCTGATCTCAAGGACTTGGCTCAGAGGTGCTCTGATGCTGCCAAAGTTGCTGGCTTTGCTCTTGCCACTTCTGCCCTTGTTGTTTCAGTATGTTCTAACTTCCACCTTTACTCTTTAACTTCTTGAATCTTGATAACCTGTATAGAATAAGTACTGGAATGTTATTTTCATGTAGAGTTACTGTAATATAGTATATAGCTATGGATCTATGCCAATGATTGTTTGATCAGTTTGAATAATGCACAGAGTAATTCTATATCTCATTGTCTGAATTAGAAAACAGGCAAACAGCATACCTTCCAAGAATAGTATGATTACAGTCAAACTGTTGCTGAAACCTCTAGACCTTGGTCTATTTTTGATTATGCTAATCACATCCAATTGTTATTCTGGAATTGATTAATGTTGTCCTTTCTATATGGGTACTACCATTCTTTTATCTTGATTCCCCTTGTTTAGTATGAATTTGGGTGACTTATTGGATATACAGGGAGCAAATGCTGAAGGAGTTCCAAAACGGCTAACATTCGATGAGATCCAGAGCAAGACTTACTTGGAAGTGAAGGGATCTGGAACTGCTAACCAGTGCCCGACCATTGAAGGGGGTGTTGACAGCTTTGCGTTCAAGCCAGGCAAATACAATGCAAAGAAGTTCTGCTTAGAGCCAACATCATTCACTGTGAAGGCTGAGAGTGTGAGCAAGAATGCCCCGCCAGAATTCCAAAACACTAAGCTGATGACCCGTTTGACATACACCCTGGATGAGATTGAGGGACCCTTTGAAGTCTCGCCTGATGGCACAGTTAAGTTTGAGGAGAAGGATGGGATCGACTATGCTGCTGTAACAGTTCAACTTCCTGGTGGTGAGCGTGTGCCCTTTCTCTTTACCGTCAAGCAGCTTGTTGCCACTGGAAAGCCATCCAGCTTTAGTGGAGAGTTTCTAGTGCCATCATACAGGGGTTCATCTTTCCTTGACCCAAAGGGAAGAGGTGGATCTACTGGTTATGACAATGCAGTTGCATTGCCTGCTGGTGGGAGAGGAGATGAAGAGGAACTCGAGAAGGAGAATGTCAAAAATGCTTCATCTTCAACAGGAAAGATTACCTTGAGTGTTACCCAGAGCAAGCCAGAGACCGGAGAGGTGATTGGAGTGTTCGAGAGCATTCAGCCATCTGATACTGATTTGGGGGCAAAGGCTCCCAAGGAAGTGAAAATCCAAGGGATCTGGTATGCCCAACTTGAGTCATAAATATTTTAAATATCGATGTATCAATTTCTTGGCTTGAGGTTTCTTGTATCAAATTTTCTGTGATCCATTAGAGAAGACTTGAAATGATTCCCTTGCCTGTATACCAAGTATTGCAGTTACTCAGCCCTAGAATATAACAGAAAGATGCAAATATTCTAAATCATGAGGTGTTGCTGATAATGAACACTTTGATCTGGAAAACAAAATGAGGGAGTTGAAAGCAACCATAAAGTGAAACTCAACTTTTTTATTAACATGGATTATGGAAGAGGGTAAAAGAGAATAGGCTTACAAAATTCATTTCAAAGGAAATAATTTAGCCTATAAATCCTATAATTTGTTTAGATTTTGTATTGAATCAAAACAAAAGCTAAAAAGTTGTTAATCAAGCATGTGTGATGGAGAGAACCCACAAGAAACTTTTACTTCCAAATTGAAATAACACTAATATAACTTTGATAAAATTATTCTTTTGCATTATGGTTTTTCAATAGCTTCCCATATAAATCAGGTTACTATCCAGACAGTCCTAAGAGGTGCTCTAAATAATGCATGTGAACCAAGTGGTGATGAAGAATGAGGAAGGAAGAAATAACTGTAATTTAAAGGAATTTTTCTTTATGATTTTCACCTGAACAAAATGAAAGAGAATATACCTCAAAAGGTTGCATAACACTGGGTAGCCGTATCGCTTCACCAGAAATCCTTGCAGGAACACGAGCCATCCTTAAAGTGATGAAACCGTAAGGAATCTCGCACAATGATTCGCACCCCAACAGTTTTTGCTATAAATTTGATAACATTATGGCAGTCCCCACATATTCTCAAGTTCTTAAAGACAGTAAGAGTTGATGCACCATTCAAATTGAGTATCCCAAAGGCAACAGCAAGCTTCTCACTGTGATTGCACAGACTGTATTCCTTCTCCTCTGTATCAAGATCTTGAAGTACAAAATCAGTATTTGGTAACTGCCCTGCCACTCTCATCTCCTCGCAAATTTCATCCAAAAATTTGTAAATTTCATCAATCTGGACATTGCTTTTATCACCAGCAACGAACGAGTAAGTCTTATTTTTCACTCGAAGCCAACTACACCCTGGCAATTTTGTAATTCCTCTAGCTCTCATCATATCCCTGGTTTTTGATGCTTCTTCCCGTAGCTTGGAAGCTTCAAAGATGTTTGATAACATAACATAGTTTCCAGGGTTTTGCGGTTCAACCTCAAACAGTTGATTTGCAGCAATTCGCCCCAAATCAACATTATTATATACCTTGCATGCAGCAAGTAATGCTCCCCATGCACTTGCACTTGGTTCTATAGGCATCTCTTGGATGAAGCGATATGCCTCTTCCAGACAACCTGCACGGCTTAGAACATCAACCACACATGAATAGTGTTCTGCTTCAGGTTCAACTCCATGATCCTTGGTCATTGAATGAAAGATCATCAAACCTTCATCAACTAACTGTGAGTGGCTACAACCAGATAGTACAGCTGTAAAAGTCATGGCGTTTGGCTGTAGCCCAGAGCTTAGCATTTCATTGAAAAGAAACAAGGCTTCCTCTCCATTTCCATGCATTGAATTTGCAAAAATCATTGTGTTCCAAGCAACAGTGTCCTTAGTTGGTATCAAGTTGAAAACTCTGCTTGACAGTTCCAAAGCGCCACATTTTGCATACAAGAATAGCAGAGCAGTGGCAACAGTGATGTCCATTGAAAACCCATGTCGAAACACAAAACCATGAATCTCCTTTCCTGCTCTCAGGCTTTCTAGATGTGTACAAACAGGCAAGACGCTGTTAATTGTGATTAAATTGGGTTTGGTCCCAGAGTGCTGCATCTCAGCAAGTAATGCAAGCGCTTGTTCTGTTCGGCCACTTTGTGCACACCCACAAATAACAGCATTCCAGGAATCATGATTCAGCTTCACAAGTTCATTTCTCATACGACCAAACATACCAAGAGCCTTCTCACATTCCCCATGTGAGAAGTAAGCTGACAGGACTACATTCCATAGCACAACATCACGCCTGGGGCTGGGCATGTTGAGGAATACCAATTCTGCTTTCTTGATGCTTGAACAACTAGCATACATGTCAACAAGTGCACTGCTTACAAACACATTATCTTCCATTCCTTTCCTGATAACATGTCCATGAATCTCTCTGCCCAGACGCAAATACTTCAAATCCGAACAGGCGGGAAGAACAGATGACAATGTCACTGAGTTTGGCCTTACCCCACCCAACACCATCCCAGAAAAAACCTGGATAGCCTCTCTGGGAAGCCTACATTTCACATAGCAAGAACACATAGAAGTCCAAGAAATGACATCCTTCACCCTTAAATCGTCAAAAACCTTTCTTGCGCCTTCAGAGTATTTGCACTTCCCGAACATATCAATCAACGCATTCCCAACCACCAGCTCAGACTGAAACCCCAACCTAATAACATCTTCACGAATCTCTTTTGCCTTTCTTAGGTCCCTTGCGGAAGCACAAGCCTTGGCAACAGACAATACCGCCAACTGATCAGGATCGACATTCCGGCTTCGAAGTTCATCGTAGACTCCTATTGCTTCTCTCGGACGACCCCATTTCGTGTAAGCAGAAATCAGTACCGTCCACGACCGCAAATCTGGGTCAGGAATATTATCAAGCAGCTGCCGGGCACGCCACAAATCCCCATAATTTACACACGCGTTAAAGAACTTGAGGTTTGTAGATAGCTTCGCGTGCATGGAGAAGCTTCACAACGATGTTAAATAATTCTTGATTCGCGTTTGGTTGCTCAGCGTGCTAAAACTTCCCAAAAGAACGAAAAAAGATCATTTGGTTTATAGCTTCTCTCCAAGTATAGCATGCTTTCTCAAATCTATTGTAGACCCCACTATATCTCAATTTTCAATAGTATACTTCAATTCTTATCAATAAAATGCTAAACTTTAAAAAAATTGTTCAAAATAAATTTTTCAATTAATTTTTTGACAAAAAAAATTATATCACACAGCTATTAGTTAATAATTAATTTATTAAATATTTTTTTTTTACAATCAGTTAATATTATCAATTAGTTATATCGCTAATTAACTAAATCAACTAACAACTAACAATCATTTACTGAACAGAATCAAAAATATCTTTTTAGTATAATTTATTTTTAATAGTATGAAGTGATATTTTTGAATAGAAAATTATAAATTTGGGAGAAGAAAATTATAAACTTGAATTCTAATTAGAACTTTATGTTTCACTAAATTAAAAAAAGAGATATTACTTTGTAAGTAATAAAAGAAAATAATAATAATAACATAGGAAGAAGTGTTGACGCCATTTCATTTCTCTCTTACCGGTTCTTTACTTTCCGACAATTTAATGTCCTTCCTAGTTAAAAACAGCACGACGTTCTTTTAATGTTACCAGTGTTCTACCATATGGAGTTCTGGGTATGTAGCATTAGATTACAATCCGTTACAGCAGTCTCAATAAATTCCCAATTTTTCCATTATTCCTGAGGATGGGCTTCGCGGCACGGCCCTTCAAGCCGACTATTCAATCGCAACGGCGAACGCTTGGAATCCAGATCATCTTCATCGCCAGAGAAGAGAAAACCAGGCGGCGGCGGCGGTGTGGCATGCAGCAGCCATGGATGAGGTGCCGGGAGCTTTTGGAACTAGTGCTAGTTTAGCTTTGAGATTGGGGCAGACTGTCTTCTCCGTTGCGTCTCTGATTTTCATGTGCTTGGATGTTGAGTTCTACAGTTATACTGCCTTCTGGTATTTTATTTTATTTTTTTCTGATTTATCAGCTAATTCTTGATTGGGTTTCCTTCCTTTTCCCTGTTCTTGATTTGCTTGTTGAATTTCTTGTTTGATCAGCTTCTTTTGTTCCATCATGTTTTTGGGTTTTCAGGTTTCTGCCTTGCAAACATACATATGTAGATTATAGGATCACAATCATAAACTGTTGATGATTATACTAAATGTTTTATAGACCAATAAACTTGAAAGTTTTGTGCTTTTCCTGGGTGACTAGGGAAATCGCAATCATTATCGAGGGTGTGCACTAAGTATATCCCGTATCCTAGGCAGCAAAGGACCACAATGAGTTAAACCAGCCTAAATTGTTCATATCGGCTCAGACCAAAAAGGGGAGCCTAAGTTGTAATCTTATGGTTAACAAGTTAGGTGACCAACTTGAGCTTAGTCTTTATCATTTGTGAGACGATGGAATCAAGAAAGTGTTAATATTTTAATATATTATAGTGTTGCACCAAGCAAAACAATGACTCTTTGTAAAGGGAGCTGTGTTTTCAGTTTACAAATGGCATCAATGCTGGTGTTTAGTGGAAAGTGGATAGAAGAAAGTAACAACCTTAAAGGCTTAAAGCAGTTGACAGAGGTTATAGATAGGAAGATCATAGTTCATGGTTGGAAAAAGTTTATTAAAAGAAAAAGGAAAGACTGAAATCTTGAATTTCCAACAATTAAGACTTTTGCAAGTTGTTCCATCTGTGTTTTCTTGTTAACAGTTAACTAGTTTTATGTTTAGTCTTTTCTTGATTGCATAATCGCGTTGTTATATGGCTGAATTTGGGGAATAGATTTGATATAAGAAGTTTATATAGTGTGGTATTGTAATGATTGCAGCTTTTTGGTGACAATCATGGGTTTACTGATACCATGGAGCCTCTCGTTAGCAATTGCAGACGTTATCTGCATATTCTTCAGGCGTCCACCTCTTCAACCGGGACTGATATCCATCCTCGTATTTGGAGACTGGGTAAGCAACTAAGCACCTCGATCGTTCAGCTTATTTGTAAACGAACACTGATGAGAAAACTTAAGAACATATTGCATTTGGTATAACAGGTGCTCTCGTTTATGTCTCTCGCTGCATCCTGCTCGGCTGCAAGCGTGGCAGACTTCCTGCTCACTTCCGGGGCCTCGCCCTGCAGCGAGTTCTTGTGCAACCGATACCAACTGTCTGCTGCCATGGCCGTCTTGTGTTGGTTTCTTGAATTCAGCTCGTCTCTCTTCAACCTGTGGCTTCTTCCATCTCTGTAAATACTTTAATTTCGGAAACATCTTGCTCAGGGCATCTCATCCGGAAACCAAATGTAATTGCTTATAGAATTTGTTCCCCAGAACATGATGTCACTGCAGCAGAGTTTCAAAGCAGATCAATTTAACCTTTTTTTTTTTTTTTTTTCGAAAAAAAACCCGAGAAAACTACATGAATCTAGGCAAAGGAACCTTCCTTGGGGGGTATCAATGATGAAGAAAAAGAAGTGCAAATGAAGAGATTAATGATCAAGTTGGTGGACAACTTTGTTCTATTATGGAACAACCGGATAAAGGTATTATAATTTATAAGACACAGCAGATGACATTAGTCCCACCACCTTAATGGATAACCTATGAAGCAATGAACATATTACTGTTATAGAATGATGACCATGTTCATTCCCAACAACTCTTGGGGTTTAATATCTCCAGCTACAAAAAAAATGAAGGCAATATATACCATTCTTCTCCGACCATGTAACGATAGACGGGAAACCTGACCACAAAGAGATAAACTCACTTAAGTTGTTTATATTTGACCAGCGCAAACCAAGGCCACCTTACTGAGAGTCGAACTTGTAACCCCTGCAACAATCATTAACTTTACATGCCATCTAATTATTGTGGTTTAATTATTTGGGGGTGCTTATTAATTTAAACTAGGGTTTGACTTGATGAGGATAAGACAATAGACATGCCTAACTCATATATACCATTCAAGATCGAATCATCTTGCAAGTTGCAACCCAATTGGCTGCACGTGCATGCATCGCTAGCTCTACTATCACTTGAAGTTCTTCAAATAAATTAACTGGAAATTCTGCATTCTTTTAAATAATAAATTTAAATTTGTCGCCCCAACTAAAAGATTAAACTGATAGTTGAATTGTATATTTATGTTTTTATATATGATGTTGGATCAGCACACCTCTTCAAGTGTGTTTGATGAACTTGAAACAACATATTGACCGCCATCTCAACTAAAAAGCCTAAGCTTATAGTTGGATGGATTGCACATTAATGATTATATGCTCAACAGGGAACTGACCTAATTGAATTATTATCTTTATTTCTTTGTTAGATCTTTGTCTCTTCATTGAAGATTTTGCATCAATTATCAAATCAAATAATTAAGACTACTTCCATTTTTAGGTATGTGCTTAGGTAATGAAGGGGGCAATAATATATCTGAAATTGGATTTAAAATGTTATAAAAATGAAAGAAATAGAAGGACATAGAAATGCAGAAAGGGTGTTTTGTGGGGGGATTCAATGGAATCCCAACAAACACAGATCGGTGTACGTAAGTTGATGTCGGGTTGTTGGGTATAACCCACCCTCTTCGCTAACCGCACCGTCGTTCATCCTTCCTGGCCACCATGCCACGTCATCTCTAACCTCTCTCCCCTGTTACTCGTATCTTTGAAAATATTTATTGTTCTTCACACTCGTGTGTTCGTCTTTAATCAAGTACAATATGAGTTATATTGTAATTCCCATAATTTTTTAGAATCTACACATATTATGTGTGATGATTCCACAAATTATTGATACGCATTTAACTAAACAAATTTTCGGGGGGCAATAATATAATTCCTTGATACTCAATGACAAATATAAGATAGGTAATAGCGTAATCTCTTTAAATTAACTCAGATCTTTTGACATAGGCTCTGTTTGGCAAACCCAGCTGAAAAGCTATAAGCTAGGAGCTGATAGCTGAAAAGGAGCTGAATGCTGAAAAGCTATAAGCTCGGAGCTGAAAATTGAAAAGCTGTTAAACTAGCTGTTATGATTGAAAGTGTTTGGTAAAATTAGATTTTTGATAAGCTGATAAATGTAAAAAGACTAAAAAGGACATCTTCATAAAATTTAAATTAGTTTGTTTACCTATTAAAATTTAACATTTCATCTTCCAAAAAAAGTAAACACTTTTTAAAATAAAATTATTAGCATGATTATGATCCAGCATCCCATAATGAAGTATCAATATTGTTGAGATTGAAGCCATATTGCTAATTTAAAAATAACATTAATAATAATAATAATAATAATAATAATAATAATAATAATAATAATAAGAAGAAGAAGCTAAAGTTTCAACATAATTGTTTAGCAGGAAACAAGACTAAGGAAGGGATTGACGTGAAAGTTGGGATAGGGGAAGAGAAAGAGTTTTAATTCATAAGGTTCAAATATGTCATTACTTTAAAATAATAAGGGTAAAGATGGAAAAAAAGTTAGGAAGCTAGTAGCTTATTTTGAAACGCTACCTAAAGTAGCGTTCCAAAATAAGCTCTTGTTTTAAGCTAGGAGCTTATTTTGAGAACATTACCAAACAGAACTTATAGCTTATTAGTAGCTTAAAATAAGCTATAAGCTCCTAGCTTAGCATTGCCAAACAGGGCCATATTCCGTTCTTCCCTAGAATGAAGCAATGCATTTCCACAACTTTCGAGTTACAATGTCCTAGGCCGATCGACCACTTGGGTTGAGTTCAGAGTCCAATCATATAGGTTGAGTCTGCGTACTTAACCCACCAGATACATTTTGAGATGAATTTAAATTAGTTTTATAGTGATGAGAATATCGAATAGAATAAGGAATAAAATTACATTTGGTGTGTACAGTATCACTGATGAGTAGATGATGGAATCTTCACACTTATCAAAGATAGAATCTTCTGGTGCATACATCACAATCTGGCACAGGGTCTTGGTGTCTTTATAGTCACCTTGCCCTGCAAATTAAATGCCATCCTCTCTTCTCTAGGCCCGCAACATTTTTCCCATTCCAACTTATATTATATATTTTTAATTCCTTAACAATAAAAACATTTATAAATGGTGAAAGTGGTCTTAAAACTAATAGCAAATTAAAAATAACAACTTTGTGTTGGGATTATTGCCCTTGAGTTCTACCCATTGACCCTAAAAAGCTTAGATGATTTAAGGTATACGACTCTGTGTGTATCATTAAATGAGCTCCTTTTACTTACTGGGCACAATAAGTCCCCTCAGATTATTCCCACACTGTGACTGGTGAAACTCGATTCCTAAATATTCTTTCTAATTTTTCACCTTTATAATCACTTGAGCTATTCATGCGGACACGTAATTAGTGTCCTTTCTCGTATTGGTATTGCCGAACCCCACTTGTGCGTGTTTAATCAATTCTGAATTTCACTTCAAAATCCCATCCAATCCCACACCCACCCCTCCCAATAAAAGCTACCCTTTATCCCCCACCATCTTATCACGTGAAATCCCTTTCCTATTCCGCCCTTCCCTTCTGACCGTTTTCCTCCATTCCCCACTTTGAAATATCAACCGCAACTTAACGCCGTCAAGAATTTCGCCCTCCCACCCCTGATTCTCGTGATCGTGCACTCAATTTTCTGTGATATTTTTAGGGATATCCAAAATCTTGAAATGATCCCAAATCACATATATTAGTGTGTAAACACCATTTTAAGGAAAACAAAAAGACAAAAATACACTTTACCCAAGATGAAATTCCTTGCCCTAAAGACCCACACTTTAGAATCGTAGAAGAAGACTTGATTCTAAGTCAGTGCTCACAGTCTATCATTTATATATCAATTGAGCTGGCTATGCCCTAAGGGCCCACACTTTAGAATCGTGCCTACAATGAGTCATTCACACAATGTGATTGCCAGACTCGTAACAGTCTATCATTCATGAATCAATTGAGCTGACTATGCAGGAAAAACGAGAATACACTCGATTGCGGAGCTCGCTGGTGAGTGGGGTAACGGCGTTAGAGTTTTCCATGAAGGTGCCAGGGGCAAAATGGCAATTTCAGCGCAAAACGTGGGTCATTGTCGAAATGACTATCGTTGTACAAGCTGTCACCCATGAATTTACAGGTTGGCAAACTGGGCCTGTAATGACTGATCCCTGCCAGAACGAAACTCAATGAAAATATAAAAGAATACTGGGAAGCATTCATTTCTTCAATTCGCTACATGACAACTTTGACGTGGCTACGCTACTATTCACGCCATACCACCAATATTTAACGCCCCCATTAGCCCTCGTTCCCACCATCTCGCTTCAACAATCCATCCATCTGATCGAACGGAGTTCTGAAAATCGCCGGCCGGCATGGGTATATGCACTTCCTGCGAGTCGACGTCGGTGGCGACGGCGAAGTTGATACTAACGGATGGGAGGTTGGAGGAGTTTTCGTACCCGGTGAAGGCCTCCCACGTTTTACAGAAGGACCCGACCATCTTTATATGTAACTCCGACGAAATGGACTTCGGCGACGTTGTCTCCGCGGTAAGCGGCGACGAGGAGCTCCAACCGGGACAGCTCTACTTCGCGCTGCCGTTGAGCCGCTTGAAGCGCCGCCTCCAGGCCGAGGAAATGGCCGCATTGGCCGTCAAAGCCAGCTCCGCGTTGACCAAGAGCGGCGGCGGAGCGTGCGACAAGAAATGCGGGTGTCGCCGGAAAACCCTCGATTTTCCCGTCGAGAAGGGGTCCAAGGCAGCGGCGGCCGGGGATGGGTCTGTAGTTAGACAGTCGTCGAACGCCGGAAGAAGTAGTAACGGAGATGGCACCGGGCGGCGGAGATCGGGGAAATTCGCGGCGAAGTTGAGCGCGATACCGGAATAGACGTAACCATCTTGACAGTGATCCATTATTTCATTTTTGTAAATAATTAGTGTACGAGGTAGCGTAACAAATCATTTGAGGTTAATATAATTTGTTGGCCGGACACCATTTGGTCGATAGTTTAAACCCGACGTTTACGTTTATTGCCATTCTTGATTTGCTTAAAGCCCCAGAAACAACGTACCTTCCCATCAAACTATATTTTATTCGGTAAATAACAACCTCATCATAGCGGCCATGAATATATATTTCTAAACTAAGGTCCCTGCGAGAAATTATAGAATTTTTAATTAAAATCAAATTTATAATTTTATAATTATTAGAATTAACAGTTTAACCAACTTAATTGAGTTTTTATCATGCATATATTCATGCACTGATGTCACGATCATGGCAGACCAGAGGTCACCGGCAAGCCAGCTAAGCCGAATCCGATGCTTCGCATGTTCCAACCAAAAGCCTCGACATTGAGAAAACCGAGGTCGAGTACCCATGTTCCTGTTCTCTGCCAAAACATATACGCGCACGTTTTGGATTTTTCCCATTTAACATTTGCATGCATGTATATATATATATATATATATATATATATATATATATATATATATATATGTATGTATATCATGGACATGCAATCATTTATGCTTAGAACCTAAAGATTATAGATTCGATCCTTACTTTGGACATAGAGATAGCTGTTGGAGGTGATTAATTAGTATGTCTGACTGTGAAAATTTTATGATATACTGAAAAAAACAAATGAAATGCTTAGAACTGTGGACGATGTTGATCTAATCCGACCAATACAGGATGATGTACTGCGTGTATGTATATGTGACCAATATTTTGGTGCAGATAATGTGGTCTCAATTAAGGTCAATCAATTTATTACACGGTTCAATAGTGCAAGCTAAGTTGGATTATTAATTAGCTAGTTGGCAGCTACATATATATAGTTATTGTCATTTAAACTAGCTCCCATCAATACTTCAATTCTGAACAAATCACATCTACATAAATTGATGTGCTAATTTAATTTATGGGTGTTAGCATTCTAATTGTCAACATCATTTTCATTTTCATTCTAGAATATATAAAAACAATAAATATGATATATACTTCTTTGTTTAAATTTAATTAGTTTTGATGGTATATTGGGCAGTTTTAATTTATTGGCTCAAAAATCTAAGTGTTGTGTGCTGGCAGGCCTTTTATGGTTATGGAAGTCGAGAATCCGATCGAGTCAGTGTCAATAAAATATGTTAGATTTGTCGTCTTTTAACCAACCATATATCATATCAACAGCTATCACATAGCATGATTGAATTGAGCACCCAGTCGCTAGCTAGGCACCACGTCGACACTTTCAACGACTCTTCAACATGTTTTGTGCCTCTCCAATATAAATATATAAGACACTCTACCAGCTTGATTGTTAAGATAGCCGGCCAATTGCAATTCACCTACACAATACAAACTAATTAAAAAGAGAGCATCCTAAACTCAATTGTAATGAACTATAGTCTATTGTACTCAAATTATTAACTACTTTCAATATAAGTAATACATTTTCTACTTAACACAACATGCTTATCAAGTATGTCTACTATGTAGTACGTTTTTACCCGTATACTTCGACCAAATAAAGCTATTAAGTTGAGTCATAATATATCTTTTAATTTTTTATAAAAAATAATAATATTAAATATATATGAAATTGTGCACATACATTAATTTACATATATAGTGTGTAAACAGTTTTATATGAAAAAAAAAAAAAAAAAAAAAAAAAAAGAAGAAAAAACTATCTTTAATTGTAACATATACCTTAATCCTATGGGTATAGGAAAAGGTTGGTGCAAATGGACTTTATTAATGACGAAAAAGAGAAAAGAGTTGATAGAAGATGAGATGAGATGGTCCTACCACTTTACCAACTCAAAAAGTTGTAATTTGGTGAATAGTAAATATTATGAATTTATTATTAGATCCATTGGTTGGAAAACATTGACGGTGCAAAACATGCATATATGCTTTTTCGATTATAACTTTGTATGTATTCATAAAGTTATCGAGAATTTATTCAAAGTTCAACTCATTACCCCTGTGCTGGCGGTAGGCATTGACATGTGAAAATTTTTAGCAAATTAAATCATTTTGCTGCACTTACTCCCATTTCAATTATTAATTTTAGAAGTGTTAATAATTAATATGACGGGACTCAATTACGTGACCTACTCTCAAAGAGAGCTACTAAGATGTCATCTGAATACAAATGTTTAGCACCTATTATTTTTATTATTATTATTATTATTTTCGCTTGACATTTAAAAGTATACAAAAACCTTTTAAGGACATTTACAATAGTGGATTTTGAAAGATTTTTACAGGTTTTTAAACATATGTGGGGGAGAGAGAGAGGGTTAGGAGTCTTCAATTCATGCAAAGTCTTGATTTTTATCATACTTGTGGGACCCACCAAGAAAAAAAAGTAGCACCCTAATTGCGTGAAGCATAACCACATTGCCCAGACAAATGCGTTAATCTGAAGCTTATCTCTTTTTTTTTTTTTTTTTTTTTTTTTCTTTCTTAACCTCTCTTATTTTTTAATCACACATGCAAACATTTCTCAATCAATAACATTGTTATTATAAATACAAATAATAATTCATTGGAATCATGGACACTTTTTGAAATGTGATGGGATGGGAACTCGAGACGTATAGCGAAATCATATATCAACAAAAATTTGGTAGTGGTGGAGCATGCTTTTGTTCCCCATTATTATTTTTATTTTTGTAAAATATTTATAATTTTTTATTATTAAAATACGGTAATATACTAATATTAACCTAATAATTTAAAATAGTTGATAAAACTGTTGATACGGCTAGAAAAATCCAAAGTTTAACTCGTGTGATGTGTGTTCTAAGTTTATGGATTATCTCACCATATCGTTTGTGATGGTTTTTTGTTCTAGATCCACACAAATTAAACCAAAATATATGAGAATAGGAAGAATGTTAAACAAAAAACATATATAAATGAGAAGAATGCAAATAATTAATGGAGTGTTTGATTGGGTGTAATAATTAAAATATGCAATTACAACACAATTATTTAAATTTCCAAATTACATTGTTTACTTAGAGAGAATTGTAATTCCTACCATTCGTTGAATTAAAATTCATACATCCACGTATGAATTCCAATTCAACATAGCATCGAAAGGAAAAAGATATAAAAATGACATTTTTATCCTTACAAAATGGCATTTTAGTTTTTATGTCACTTTTTTTCCACATATTCAATAATTTAATTATTCTTTACCAAACAATGTAATTCGAATTTCTATTTTGTATCTACCTTATTCTTTTCCCCTGAATTATAATTTTTTTCCTTCTTAATTCTCTCTCCCAACCAAACGCGTAACAGATAAACGAGATGCTGGATAGCAATGTGCTTTTTTGGTCAAAAAGTGTCACTTAGAATAATAAATTCTACGTAAAATACAAAAGTTATTCCGCGTTAACTAAATAACAAAATTTATACTATATTATATTTTATGTATTATATAACAAAAAGTAATTAAAAAGTTGTCAATTTCAAGCTTGGCACCAATTGAAGAGACAAATGGGAATGAGATGTACATTTGGCTAACCTCTGATGACTGATGGAATTATGAATTAGAATTAATTTCACTTTTGGTCCCACGACTTTTGATGTTCTATCATTTTTGGTGCACAACTTTAAATTTTTTTAATTTTGGTGTCTAACTTTGTTATTTTTATCAATTTTGGTCCTTTCGGTCAAATTGACAGCGAAATGTTGTTGGATTTTATATTGTTAGGGGTAAAATCGTCATCCCAAGGAAACATCTTCAATATCTAAACAAAATCACCGTAAAATCATATCTATAGGTGTTTGATGATGAGAATAATGGGGAAGATGGGCAGAAACCAGACAGATCTATGGGATTTATAGTTTCGACCATTGGCAAACTCTTCTTTTCCTCTTAATATGATTTTTCTTTTGTTTAAATATTGAAGATCTTTCCATGGGATGACGATTTTGCCCCTAAAATATAAAATCTGGAAATATTTTACCGTTAATTTGGCTAGAAGGACCTAAACTGATAAAAATAACAAAGTTAGGCACCGAAATTGAAAAAATTTAAAATTGTGCACCAAAAGTGATAAGAACTCAAAAGTCGTGGGACCAAAAGTGAAATTAATTCTTATGAATTATGTGAAGTGGAATGGAATGGGTTCCCACCCGATATGGACTGAGCACCACAAATACGAAAATTGGGATAGGAGGGAATCCACGAATCTTATCCGCATTCCGGTTCAGTGTAATCCAGGAAAAGGGAATATTACCATATATGGACATATGTGTCATTTTCTCTCCTCCAGATATTATTTCGTCGTTACATTCTTCGCTGATTCACCCATCCAATTCACGTTATTTCCACCAGCTGCCCCTAGTAATTATTTTTTTAAAATTTAAAATTTTAAATTTGCGACTATATGACCATGGAGAATGCATGAAATCCCATATAACAACTTATTCAATTTCCTAATATTGCATTAGGAGAGTAAATCTTCTATATACTTTTTTCAGTTATTTATATTGAAAAACTATAAAATAATACTAATAATGAATTTAAGATAATATTTTATATAACAAATTTAAATCTAAAATAGTAAATTTTACCTTGACAGTTGACACCACCAAAAAATATAAATGATTTCCACCTTACGATTTTTACGTAAAGAAAAAAAAATTCTCCAATTTATTTTGTGTTTAATACTTCCATATTTATATAGGCCTTCCAACCCCACAAAACCAACAATGTGAGATATTTGAAACTTCATTTTTGTAATTAAAATTTGAATATCATGCGGACCACACAGGTGAATAAAAGTAGCCTTAGAATTAATATTGATGAAAATTATACAAATTTAGCTGATAAATTGATCAAATTTTAGAAGAATTTGATAGTCATTGAGAAAAAAAAAAAAATCTAAGACTAAATTTAAAAATATATATACAATAATTGAGGACCAAATGTATAATATAACCTCGGACTAAAATTATATATATTTTTTAAAAAATAATGATGATGACGAGACTGATAAAATTCCAATCCCTATACCATGGTTAAGTGTTCATCTTGCATTCTGAACTCTGGTGTATGCGTATGTGTCTTATGTTGTGAGTTTTTATATCTTGTGTTACGAAATTATGTATGATGGGGTGCAGATCCAATGGCCTAGAATAGGGCTCAGATAGAAGAGAAGAAGGTTGGGCCCACAAGGGATCAGCCCCAACAAAGAAAAAAAAAAAAAGGAAGCGAGCATCACGGGCCAAAAGGAAGCCCAGAGATAGATACAGCCGAGTCCCAAGGGTCGGCGCGAGCAAGTGGTCGGCACGAGCAGAGGTCGGTCCAACAGATAGCTGTTGTCATTTAAGAGTTACCTTCAATGCTCGGTCAAACAGGCCATTGAGAGGCCCAGTAACAGTAGCCCAACAGCCCCTAGATTCAATAAGCCCCATAATGGCACTTCAATGTATGTATTTAAATTACCAAGAGTGACCAACTATAAAAAGGGGGCCGTTAGAGAGTGTAAAGGGACCCCAAGTGAAGGATTGGCGGAAAAAGTATAAGCAAAATACCAAGATTCATAGTCATTCTTTCTTAGAATTCATAGTCTTGTTTGAAACGTGAATTCACCAACCACGGTTGTGTTGGACTTCCCTGAATCCCTGGGTCCGAAAACCCTAAAACCAACACTGTACTTTAAGAGTATGAATTTTATACCTTAAATAAATTAGTAATTGTGTTTTATGTAATGAATTTCTGTGTCTTGTGTTATGGAATTCTGTGCCTATGAACATAAATTATTGACCTGAATTAGATTTGAAAAATAAGTAAATATATAACATGTGTATATGTCTTGTGTTATAAAATTCTTTACCTTATGAATATAAATTTTGTACTTCGTTGTTTTGATTCAGAGTTCATAATGCTATATGAACCCTGGTCCATGATATAAATTGCCACGAAATTAATAGATATTGGGTCAAAGCTTGGTATTTGTAATATTTTTCGTTTTGGACTGGGCGCAGTAACAGAAGTATAGCCGTTGGTCCAATCTTAAAAATAGCTTAGATCCCACAAAGCAGAAGTTTGTATACCAAAGTCCAAACCCACCAAAAGCAGCGACTATTTTTTTTTTATTTTTTTAACCAAAAGCATCGGAAATTTATATCCTACACCACGGCGCGCGTTGAAATGCAAAACGACGTCGTTTTAAACTTTTTTTTTTTTAAATTCTCCGCCCCAGTGAATGGCAGTAGTTTTTTCTTAAAAAAAAAAACCCGCTGTTCAAGAATGTACATAATGTTATACTAGAATACACATAATTGTATACATGAATGTACATAATTATATAACAAAATATACATACTCTTTTTAAAAGATAATACACATAATCTAACATAATACATAATAAACATAAACTTTTAACATAATACACATCAACTATTAACATAATACACACAAATTTTCCGATTCGGATGTACATAATTGTATAAAAAGAATGTACATAATTGTATAAAAAATGTACATAACTGTATGAACTAATACACATAACTGTATGAACTAATACACATAACTGTGTGAACAAATACACATAATCCCAGCAACTTCCTACCGCGCCTCCCAAAACGACGTCGTTTTGGGAGGCGCGCGGCGCACAGTACTATATGCGCCGTGGTGTAGGGTATAACGATTGAAAAGCATCGACTTTTAGAACCCAAAATTGGACCATAGCCGTCAATCCTTTGGAACTCGAATTTTACTTTGTACACAATACACGTTATAATTAGGGATGACAATGTGCCCCGTCCCCAATTGGGATCTCCGATCTCCGCCCCAACGGAGACGAGGATTTGAAAAATTTTTGGGAAATGGGGATGGGACGAAGAATGTATGTAATTTCCCGTTGGGGACTAGGATACCACTCCCCGCCCCGTCCCCGAATAAATATTATAATAAATAAATAAATAAATAAATTAGTGTGTGTATATATATATATATATATATGTGTGTGTGTGTGTGTGTGTGTGTGTGTGTGTGTGTGTGTAAAAACAATGTAATACACTGTACAGTGAAGGGCAATACGTTACATATATATTAGTCACTGTACAGGATATATATATATATATATATTAAATATTTTTACAATTAAGATGTAGATTTTAAATTTTTAAATTTAAAAGTTACACTAATTTAAGATTTTAACTAAAAATTAATGGGGGACGAGGATTCTCCGTCCCCGCCTAATTCCCCGCGAGGGCGGAGATGGAGATTATTTTCAACTCCCCGCCGGGTATATGGGGATGGGGACGGGGGCGGGATCGGGGTCGGGGACGGGTAGTATACTCCCCCCACCCACCCTGCCCTGTTGCCATCCCTAGTTATACCTGTTACCCAATCCTCATTGCAATGAGTTGATCTATATAAATAATATTTATCATGCACAATCATTATCTACATCTTTTGTGAAAAAACTGAGATAAATTGTTGTCAAAACGGACTTAACTCGATAGGTTAGTGTGTCCTGTCCCGCCATTTTGGCGCGCCAAATTTTAGATTTTATGACCTGTATTTAGGTGAGTTTTTTTAGCCCGCCACGATAAATTGTGGGCTTGGTGGGTCAACGAGGGGTCACTAAGTCCGCCTGGTATGTTATATGTATACATTATTAATATATATATATAATTTATTTATTTATATTGAAAAAATATATTAGTAACTAGTACATTGTATAAATTATTTGTTATTACCTTATAGATTCACATATTATGTATTTGATTCTTATATAGGTGAGTTATTAATATAGTACTTATTACTATATTAGTTATCATTGTGTTCAACAAATTACAAATGCATTAATATATGTTTAAACTATTCAAATTATTTTAGTATACACTTATAAACTTTTTCATATTAATTTTTATTTAAATTTAACATTTTAAATTTGGTGAACCCCCACAAAAGTCTACGGGACTAAGGCGAGCCAACCTATTTTAGGCCCGTATTTTGACAGACTTTTTAGTCCCTCGCACTATATAGCAGGCTTTGGCAGACCAGAACGGCCCTACCCCGGCAACCCTTTTCAACAACCCTATTATTTTTGTTTCTTTTTTAAGAAATTCAACAACCCTATTAAATCTCGAACATGATCAGGCAATCTTATTAACGTAAATGCAAGTTGTATCACCCATGGCATGGCAAAAATTTTCCCAAAAAAAGAAATAGCATGGCAACAAATAAAGTGGATTTCACGCAAAATGTATAGGTAAATAAAGGACAAAACACGTGTTGCATTGAGAAATACATTGAAGTGGAAAGAATTGTGAAGAGCCATGTCTCTTCTCTTTGAGAGAAGTTAGCATGTGATGTGATCTTCAATCATTTTTCTTTCTTCCTCCACCACCTCATCCTTTACATACCCATCTCCATTTCACTAAACCAAAAATATAATCTTGTTTGGTTAAAGGTTATTATATATATAAAATTATATATGATACCGTTATCTTATTTATTTATTTTAATTTTAAATTTATTAATATATAAAAAATTATATTAAGGGTATTAAAGTGTGTGTGTGTCTCTCTCTCTCTCTCTATATATATATATATATATATATATATATATATATATATATATATAAATTAGAATTAAAATGGCAAAATTTATAAATATTTAAGGTAAGGGAATTACATTCTCTTCAAAATCCTATGTGAAGGGTTATGTTCCCTAAAATAACATGAACTAAACATGAGAATGTATGCTTTGGAATTTCATATTTCCTTGGTTATGTTGTATAACTTGAACCAAACACCCCCTAAATGATATCCCGTTAAGGTAATCTGGTCAAGTTGGTCAGGTTGTTAATCTTAAAATTACAAGTATAACTCCCAGCGAGATCAATCTATTAACTTTCTTGGTTTTAGTTGATTAGCTATGGACAACTCATGTTAATTTACCTTTTTGTGGTAATTTGTAGTCCTTTGTTAAGTAAGATTAGAACACAGGATTAATCTAGTGCACACTATAGATCATATCAGAATCTTTTTAAAAATAAGGGAACTGAATTACTTAAATACGAGACTGAGTCACTGAGAGCTCAATGACACCTCGAACTCAGTGGGGACATCGATTATGTGTCCTTCATTAGGTTGCATGTATAAATTCACCTCTATTGTTTTTCCCAAATTCACCTCTACTGTTCATTGGCTACATTGCATAGACAATATAATATTGTTGTTACTTGAGAAGAAGAAATGGCCAAAACATTATCTTTATCAGTGATCATTGCACTAGCCATATGCCACGGTTGTGCGCAAGGAGTGCCACCAGCGCCACCGACGGTGGCCGCGACGGCGGCGGCTCTGCCGGGTTCCGCCCAGGAGTTCTTGGACGTGCACAACCAAGCACGGGCTGACGTGGGCGTCGACCCACTGACCTGGAGCCCGAAGCTGGCCACCGCCGCGGGCCTGAAGGTTCGTTACCAGCGGGACAATCAGAACTGCAGCTACGCCAGCTTAAGCGGCGGCGAGTACGGCAGCAACCAGATGTTGTCGGACGGAACGGCGGTGACGCCGCGGATGGCGGCGGAGAATTGGGTGCAGCAGAAGAGCTTCTACAACTACGCTAACAATATGTGCGTGGCAGGCCACCCCAGGTGCCGCTCGTACACCCAGGTTGTTTGGAAGAAATCGCTGGAACTGGGTTGCTCTCAGGCGACGTGTCCTAAAGGCCAGATTACCTTAACCATATGCTTCTACAATCCTCCCGGAAACACCGTCGGAGAGAAACCGTACTAATGCTTATCTTGTTCTTGTTAACCCAGTCAAGATTCAAGCTGTTCTTCGTATCTAGAGAAATAAGATTTAGGATTATTGATCAAATAATGGTACTAGCCTACTAGGTTGTACTACTGCTCGGTTGTTTGTCGGATTAAGTTTTCCTTTTGAAGGATTTATGCTTTAATTCCAGCTTTCTTGAATTCCTAACGCAGAAATCATTCATATAAACTAAACATCAGATTATGTACAAAACTCAGCGCACAATCTCTGGGTTTTTTTTTTTTTTTTTTTTTTTTTTTTTTTTTGTGTTTTTTTTGTTTTGTTTTTGTTTTGTTTTGCAGAAGTACAAAGAAAGAAAGATGGAGTAAGCTTCCTATGGTAAAAGACTGGAGGTAACCAGACAATCCAACCAAGTTTATGTGTTAATTTGGTAACCACAAAATTTCACTCTAAGCTGAAGTCACCTATTATCATTCTGGGGTTGAATTGGTCAATTCCTAGTCAATGGTTATATCGTACACTGTGACCCTGATTCAATATGCATAATTTGACTTCATAATGTACAGAATTATGTTTATAATACACATACACATAAACATGATATAATGAACATGAATTATGTGCATTATGAATGTGTATTATGTTAAGTGCTTATGTGTCTTCATTATTTTGTGTTTATGTGTATGTGTATTATGGATATAAATTCTGTACATTATAAAGTCAAATTATATGTATTAGACCAAGATTCACAATGCATTGTGGACCCTGATCCATGATATAAATTGTCATTTATAATCCTTTGTCCGCTAGTATCACGAAACAATTCAATCCAATACACAGTACACCACAAATAGTATCATCGAGTTTTCCTTGTCACTAAAAAAAAATAGAAGTAACAAGCGTTCATTATATTGTTAATCTCTAATGTATACTTTTAAGTAGTGACGTCTGGTTTTTATTGATTATTCGTGACTAAAAAAAGAATGGAGGTAAGAGACATTGACAAAACACAAATGGCAACCTATGCTTCATTCCATCGCTGACTTTCTATTCATTTATACATATGGGAAAGAATCAACACTCTTGCCACTGAAGAAACCGGCAAACCAAACTAGAATCAGCTTCACTACATGCCATGAAAGCAGTTACCTCACAAGCTCCTTGAATATAAGATATCGATCGAAAGGCGAAGTTATGAGGAATCCATTCAATGTTCTTGCAACCCTTTTTGTGTATTTATTCACGCGACCGACTGAAACATACATTTTTATAATTAATATAATGTACATTATTTTAAGGCATAATATACATTATTCTAACTCATAAAATATATTATCGTACTTTATAAGTTTCATTATTCTAACACATAATGTACATTATTCTAGCACATAAAATACACTATTCTAACACATAAAGTACATTATTCTAACTCATAAAATTCAACAATGTTGTTTTGTTTAGACTACGGTCCACGCAATAATTTGCCTGCATCAATTCTTATACCATGGACTAGGGTTCACAGTGCATTGTGGACCCTGGTGTATGTGTATGTGTGTTATGTTGTGAGTTTTTGTGTCTTGTGTTATGAAATTATGTACTTTAAGAGTGAATTTTGTACATGATGTAGTAAATATGGGCGATACTACGGAATACGGTGCTAGGGTCGGTTTCGGTTACGGTTCCTCTACTTAGTCTGCTTGTTGGTTTAAATTATGAAGAATACTTGACAGTGGGTCAGAGGTTCCCGAGCGAACAGTTAGCGTGTCAAAATAGCCAAGAAAAATCTCTCATATAGCAATTAATGTGGTATTTATAAGGAAGAAGAGGGAGCATGCTCCGGTCTCACGGCATGTACAACACGTGAAACCCATGTACAGGTTCAGGCCGCGTCCCAAGGTGGCTTGACCACGTGTACTAATATTCCTGAGTTTACTGGGTGTATCGCCCTTGCGTTCTGCCAGTAGAATCAGGTCGGTAGGTTGGGACAAGGTGATTACTACAACGACTATGTATGGCTGCCTATAACTGAGCTAAAGAAAGAAAGATGGTCGGGAAGGTATGCGTATCAAGTCGGTGCAGATTGGACTGAGCTTTATTCATATAGTGGGTCCATTACCGACCACCATGTATGTACGGTCAATAGGGAATAATCCACATCAGTACCTAGAACAAATTAGTAATTGTGTCATGTGTTGTGAAACTCTATGCCTATGAACACAAATTATGTACTTAAATTATATTTGAAAAATAAGTAAATATATAACATGTGTATGTGTCTTGTTTTTTGATTTTTTGTGTCTTGTGTTATAAAATTCTATACCTCGTCGTTTCAATCTAGTGTCCATAATGCTATGTAGACCTTGGTTCATGATATAAATGACCACAAAATTCATAGTGCAATCGTTATATCGTGCACCAGGGTGCACAATGCATTGTGCTCCCCGTCATTTCAAAACGACATTGTTTTGTTAAGTTGTGTGGAGAGTTGATACGGCGGAGTGTATGTGTATTCTATTATACAATTATGTACATTCTATTATACAATTATGTATATTCAAAACATGAGAAATTTTTTTTATTAAAGAAGTTAACATCAGACACGAAAAACAAAAATTTTTTTAAAAAATACAAAATGATATCGTTTAGATTAAGGCACACAATGCATTGTGCGTCCTGATATACGATATAATTTGCCTTCATAGTGATATGGGGTCCAAGCTTGGTATTTGTAATATTTTTCGTATTGGACAGGGCGCACTAACAGAGTATTGCCGTTGGTCCAATCTTTAAAATAGCTTAGAGCCCACAAAGCAGAAGTTTGTATACCAAAGTCCAAACTCACCAAAAGCATCCACTTTTAGAACCCAAAATTGAACCATAACCGGTTAGAATCATTATTGTGTGGATCATATTTTGTATATGATAAAATAATATACATTCAATACAAAAATAATGTATATTGTGTTAGTTTTAAGGTTTTTGGGTCCAAAAAGATCCAACACAACCGTAGTTGGTGGATTCACCGGAAATTAAAATAGATAGCTAAATAGAAAATAATAGCCAAAAAGTCTCACTATATTTGCTTGTAATTTGTACATCTTTGTGTTTGTTGTCGTGTGTCTATTTTGTACATAGAAATATTGTGTAGGGAAAGAGCTATACTTTGTATATAGAGAGGGAGTCTTCCTCTTGATCTTCTTGTTGGGAGAATGGTAGAGTCTTCTCTTGCGGTAAAATGGAGTTTTCTTGAGTGAGAGTGGAAGAATGCTATCTTCTAGTATGAGGAAGAGTGATGGAGTGTTCTTTTGGAAGAGTGAGAGTGGTTGTGGGAGAGTGTCATATCTTGTGAGGAAGTCTTCTAGTATGAAGAACAATCTCCCCGTATGAGGAAGAGTGATGGAGTCTTCTTGTTTGGAAGAGTGGAGAGTTGTCTTCTCTTGTGGTAAAGAAATGTGTCCTCTCATGTAATGATGAATAAGATCCCCATTGAAGTGTGGGGAGCCCTTAGGGTTGGGGTTCAACCTTTTGAAAGAAGAATGAGATCCCCATTGCTCTTCACTTTTCACACTTCAAAGAATCAACATGGATATTACCGTTAGGGAATTTATGGATGTTTTAATTGGGTAGTAAATAGGAGTTTATGTGGGGGTTATGTGTATTAAGTTGGGTGGTAAATAGGAAATTGATTGGTGGTTTAGTGGGCATTTATGCTAGATCTTTATTGATGATAAAGGGGAATTTAATGGGTAATGAAGGGGAATAATTAGGATATTTTGATCGGGTTTGTGTAATTCAATTGGGACTAGGTGGTCTAACCGGGCCCAAATATTGAGTATCAATCATATTGTATTTAGGGGACGTACATTATTTTTGTATTGAGTATACATTATATTGTATAATATAATGTACATTCAGTACAAAAATATTGCGCATTTAGTATATTAAAAATGTACTTTTTATTATGGTCCACATAACACTGTGTGGACCATGGTTCACACAATAATTTGTCAATATTTATCTATCCTATAAATCCTTTGGGACTCGAATTTCACTCAATTCACTTTATACACAACACACGTTATACCCATTACCCATTTCTCATTGCAATGAGTTGATCTATTGAAGTAATATTTATCATGCACAATCATTATCTGTATCTTTCATGAAAAAATTTATATAAATCCTCAAACATGATCAGGCAATCTTCTTCTAAAGGTTGAATCCCCAAGTCAAAAGTCTTTCACTCTCCAACTCGACAGAGCATTTGAGAGGATGTAAATTACGGTGACTCAATGAGTAAGTAGAAAATCTTATTAAAGTAAATGCAAGTTGTATCACCCATGGCATGGCAACAAATGAAGTGGATTTCACGCAAATGTATAGGTAAATAAAGGACAAAACACATGTGATGCATTGAGAAGTGAGAAATGCATTGAAGTGGAAAGAATTGTGAAGAGCCATGTCTCTTCTCTTTGACAGAAGTCAGCATGTGACGTGATCTTCAATCATTTTTCTTTCTTCCTCCACCACCTCATCCTTTACATACCCATCTCCATTTCACTAAACCAAAAATATCTTGTACACCTAGTTGCTCCCATGTAACCACTACACTCTCACGTGGACTATGATTCTAAATGATATCCCGTTAAGACAATTTGATCAAGTTAGTCAAGTTGTTATTTTGGTAATCTTAATATTACAAGTTTAATTTTCAACAAGAGTACTCTATTAGCTTTCTTGATTTTAACTGATTGGTTATTGACAACTTATACTGATTTACCTCTTTGTGGTCGTTTGTAGTCCTTTCTTAAGTAAGATTACAATGTCGGATTTACCTAGTGCACACTCTAGATCATGTCAGAATCAATTAACTATTTAAAGAATAAGGAAACTAGTTGCTTAAATATGAGATGAGAGCTCAATGGTACCTCGAATCCCAGTGGAGACATGGACTATTTGTGTTTCAATAGATCGAGAAAGTATGTATGAACAGATGAGTCCATATCTATAACCATGTTCTTTGGAAGATTGTGATCCATGTGGCATGACATTAGGATCATGTCTTTTGGGTTTCTTATTATAAATTCACCTCTATTGTTCATTGGCTACATTGCATAGACAATCTAGCATTGTTGTTATTTGAGAAGAAGAAATGGTGAAAATATTATCTTTATCAGTGATAATTGCACTAGCCATATGCCACGGTTGTGCGCAAGGAGTGCCAGCAGCACCACCGACGGGGGCCGCGACGCCGGCGCCTCTGCCGCGCTCCGCCCAGGAGTATCTGGATGTGCACAACCAAGCAAGGGCGGAAGTGGGCGTCGCCCCGCTGACCTGGAGCCCGATGCTGGCCACCGCCGCGAGCCTGCAGGTTCGTTACCAGCGGGACAAGCAGAACTGCAGCTTCGCCGACATAAGCAGCGGCAAGTACGGCGGCAACCAGCTGCTGGCGGGCGGAATGGCGGTGACGCCGCGGATGGCGGTGGAGCATTGGGTGGAGGAGAAGAGCTTCTACGACTACGCTAACAATTCTTGCGCCGCCGACCACAAGTGCGGCGTGTACACCCAGGTTGTTTGGAAGAAATCGCTGGAACTGGGTTGCTCTCAGGCGACGTGTCCTAAAGGCCAGATTACCTTAACCATATGCTTCTACAATCCTCCCGGAAACATCATCGGAGAGAGACCGTACTAATGCTTATCTTGTTCTTGTTAACCCAGTCAAGATTCAAGATGTTCTTCGTTTCCAGAGAAATAAGATTTAGGATTATTGGTCAAATAATGGCACTTGTTGTACTAATGCTTGGTTGTTTGTCGGATTAGGTTTTCCTTGTGAAGAATTTGTGCTTTTATCCATTTATAGTCTTTGATCAACTCAACTAGAGTAATGAACACCAGGATTCGATTTGAATTCATGACATTTGGTCTAGCTCTGGCTCTGGCTCTGATATCAAAAGCCTAAACTGATAGTTAGATTGCACATTTATGTTTATGTTATATTATATACTCACACACTCTCATTAAGAAAAGAAAGGAGGTAAGAGACATTGACAAAACACAAATAACAACCTATGCTTCATTCCAACTCCGACATTCTATTCATTTATACAGATGGAAAAGAATCAACACTCTTAATTGCCACTAAAGAAACCGGCAAACCAAACCAGAATCACCTCAAATACATGCCATGAAAACAGTTACCTCACCAGCTCCTTGAATATAAGATACCGGAAGGCGAAGTTATGAGGAATCCATTCAATGTTCTTGCGACCCTTTCCCTGCTGGCACTTCTTGATGCTCTTCCTCAGGGAGTCGGGCAAGGACTGCTGCACCATCTCGGTCACGCTGGCAGGACACATGCCTGAATCCTTGGCGAAGGACTCGACAACCTTTGACAAGAGGATTTTGTGATCCTTTGACACTCCAAAGGTTGCTCTGATATATTCTTCTTTTGCTGATTCCAGCTCCTGAAGTATTCTTTTGGGCGTGTAGAGTCGAACCTGTGAAAAAAATGGTGAAGTGTTCAACCCCATAACTCCATGAGGTACGAAGCATTCGTTGTGCAAAAAGAGAAGGTTGTGAATAAGTACCGCGGGATCTGAATGATTGCCAGAGCAGAGTGCGAAATGCAGGAGAGATTCGGGGTGTTCAATCACAAATGCTTGTCGTTCATCCCCAGTTTTGAATTTTCCCCTCGAGGAAAGTAGTAGGCGAATCCACTGCACATAGAAAGTAGCCTTTATCAGTACTGAATGTATTAACTATCAAGCATTCAAGCCAATAAATCCATCGAGGAAGATGGACAATAGTGAAAACGAGAGTGCAGGAATCTCGAGCCAAAACTGCATAGCAAGAACTCGGTGCAGACAATTGAAGCATGTGCTCCATCTCAACTAAAATAGTTGGATTGCACATTAATGGTTATATGCTCAACACGCCCCTCACGTGTGCGAGCCAATTACCTTTATTCGAACCCATGACCTTTGGTCTGGCTCTAATACCAAACTGAAGCATGTTATTCTTGCCCCATCTCAACTAAAAGCCTAAGCTGATAGTTGGATTGCATATTAATGGTTATATGTTCAACACAGACCATTACCTGCCCAGGTCGAGACATTCTGCATCCCAGAATCGATGTCTGTATTAAATCTGCACTTATGACGTGACCCCCAACGTTATAGGCAGCCTGGATTGGGAGAAATGAAGTGCAGAAGCATAAGCAAAAACAAGCATTGCCAATCGAGAGGAATTTAAGGAAAAAAACTAGTCTTTTTTGCTAACCTTCAAGAGAAGGAATGCTCTCTTCATGCTGTTTTGCGGGATTCCATAAGCCAAAAATGCCTATTGGGAACAAGATATCGTAACCATTAGCAAATGCTGCAAATGGGATTGTTCGAGATGTGCAAAAACGTAAACATGCATATTTTGGCAGAGGGAATTGAATTACATGCATCACCAATGCATTGTGGACGTTAATCCAGAATGCTAGCTTCTCCTCATGAGTCAACTTCCGAGGATCGGTTTCTTCTAATCGAGAAATAAGTGACCTAAAACATAACATCTCAATCAGTACTGCACACTATAAAGTACGATATCAATCATGTCATCAGAAGTTAAACGCCATTACCTGTAATTTTGTAACAAGGGCTCAACATCACCGAGTTTCTGGTTATCTCTATATATACATTGCACTTCAATCATCGTGCTGTAAGGTCCACTGAAATCCTTCAGCCCTTCAACATGGAAAGGATTGTCCAACCGCACATCAAACGACGAATCATTTCTAAACCCTGGGCTCCATATGTCGCCTTGATATTTCGGAGAAAATGCACTTATTGATGAGAACGATGAGGTAGGAGATGAAACTCCGGGATTTGTCAGCGGTGGATCAGCAAGCTTGCAGTATATGGTGCACATGCACTTTATCATTTCCTCGGAGAGCTTGTTTGGTGTCTCTAGAGCATGATCACCAATACGGGTTCCTAGATGCTCCGCCAAACTGATTATGTTTGATGAAGTATTCTGAGCATACTGTAAAGTAGCCACGATTGTTGAGCATATAACCATTAATGTGTAATCCAACTATCAGCTTAGGCTTTTAGTTGAGATGGGACACATGCTTCAATTATGATAAATCAAACTTGCCATTTTTAGTTCATGTTTATGTCACACGCAAATCCCGGGGTTCAAGGGGCTTAGAATTAGTCTGACATAAGCTGGAAACGTAATGTATCGAAACGGAAATTAATAAAAGTTCGCTTATGAGATGAAGCTTACCTCCATCATAGATAAAGGCTGAGAATGACAAGCACGAACTGCTTTGCCCAACGGATCCTCCGGGGGAGAAGTTCTGTTCGACAGAGCTGAACGCTGAGATAGCGAGGAATGGCTTCGTTGAACACCAGAATCAAAACATTTGTCTTCTGCTATGCCATTCGATACCGACTGTCCATTAACTTGAGGTGTTGAGGTTTCCTTCCTCGATGACACATCCGATTTCGAAAAGTCTAGCCTCCTTCTCGGGGTAACTACGGGTGACTTCAATCTATCGTCTTTCGTGGGAGGAGATACGGATGGGAGTTGTTGATCAAAAGCTTGCCTGTACAGCGAAAGGAGATACTGTTCCAAATGCCCAACTTCAAACTCCAGCACCGCTATTTCTCTAATAAGTTCTGTTGCGGGCTGCAATGAATCGAATCGAATCGATTATTTTTTAACATACTAAGGGTATATAAAGATCCAATAACAAGAATCAAAGCAGCAAAAGGAGGTACCTTGGGCATTAAGGTTTCAGCTGTGATCTTGTGCGAGGAAGACCCATAACCCAACGCTTTCTCTAGAGCACATCGAACAGCAACTTGGTCCTGCAATCTTTTCTCGAGCTGCAGTATCTGAGTGTAGGAACAAGATTAGTTTTTTATCAAATGACAACATGAATATAGCCATTAGTCCTATGTTTGAGTGTACCTCTTGCCTCAATGAATTTTGGACCTCATCATTAGACGACGGTTTCTTCTTGCTCTTGACACAATCATCCGAGTGCCCCGTATCCTAGCAGAAAGAACTCATCAAATTATAAACTTTATTGAACCAGAACCTTCAATTTCTTTCATTTTATTCATTTAAAATGTAGAGACAACTCTTCATTACAGCAATGTGTGTTTCATTTGTAAGGAAAAACCGAGTTAAATGACTAGAACATGATCACATAGAGCCTCTCCCCATCTTTAAAAGAACAGCCTTTTTTACTATTCTATGTTTTCAGTCTCACTCAACTAGAAGGCCACAAGAATCTCCTAAATAGAGGAGCAGAAAGAAGGAAGTTTCCTTACCAACTTCAGTCTATTAGAAGCTTCAGGGTCTTCAATTCCTGTTCTAACTGGGAAACTGCCATAGTAAAAGCCAGAAAACAAGATTGGGAAATCAGAATATACAGAAAAGTAGAAACTTGCAATTCCATTTTAGAGCTATGCAAGATAATCTGGGCAGAACACAAAAAAGATGGCTAGATTCACACAATTCACAATCTCTCTTACTATTCTCCTTCCCCATTCTAACCTCTACACTTTTTCAAGATTCCTGCAACCCAAAAGCTAAGAAAAATGGCACAAGAAGTTTCAACAGTTACCTCTTGGAACGCTTGTGTTTGCAGGCTGTCACTCTGTCTCCCAGCATTTCACCACTGCTAACCTCTTCAAAACCCATCTCTGAAACCAGCTTAAGCTATAAAAATGGTTTTTTTTTTTTATTATCAGAAATCACCAAAAGCAACAGGAAACTCAATAATGCAAGGTGAACAAGAAAGTGATTGAAGAAAGAACTCACCACCCCCACCTTAAGCAAACAATGGGCGATCAAGATTGGATTTTTTTCAGAGCTACAACATACCCAGAAACCTCAAACTCCCCAAATGGGTCCTCAAAAACCCATATAGCTCTCTTGCATTGCCGCAGGTTTCCAAGTATTAACCACCGGTTTTACCTTGTACAGTTCTTCTACACACAAAAATAGCTGGGAGCCCTTTTGACCCGGGAAAGATTTTCTTTTCCCTTTCCTCTTTTTCTTTACGGAGATCCTCTTGCTCCAAAATCTGTTACTCGCATAGTCCCAATATACTACACCGTGGTAGCTTTTGGGCAAAGAAGTGGAAGGCGAAGAGAGGGTCTTTCCGTCTTAAAAGTACTCACAAAAGTCCTATACTATAAATAAAAACCGAAAATGTCAAAGGTTGTCTAAAAGTAGATGCTGAACCCAAGACACGACTATAGAGAAGTCTATGACAGATGAGATGATGAAGAAAAGTTGGTCCAAAACTGGGATTAAACTAAGCTAATTACGGTCCAAATATTCCTAAGAAAAGTATTGACAACACAGTTAGCCCACATCCCTTTCATTTGTAGGTGTGTTAGTGGGGTTTGTTGACCGTCACCTCACCCCCCTTTGTCTCTTATCCACACCCCACATCTTCAGATTCATAGATTACTATTCATGTTTAATGTAATTATTGAATATAGAACAGGATTATAGTAAAAATTTGTTCTTTTTGTGAAATTTCCTGAGAGAGCTAGCTGGTTTCCTGGACTGTCAAAAATCACTGTTTTTTTTTTTTCTTTCTTTTTGCCTTTCCGTAAAGGTGAACCAGATGGGTTCATCCAAGTGTGACAAAACGAGGGACATAATCGAAATGGAGCGTGTGTACATGTGTATACAACAATAGTATACGAGATTTAAGGGCGGAGGAAAAGGCCTCACTCGCCTAAAAAGGGATGAAGAAAAGTGAGGGGTTAAAGGGAACATTGGATGCTTGAAAGGAAATGAAGTTTTGTGGGTTCCTCTTTGTCGTCTCCTCTAATCACCTTTTGAAATTGAGGAAAGAGATTAGGAGCCAGCAACCGGTAGATACCCACATTGTCTTTCA